ATCAATACTCCCTCTAGGCTGTGGAGTCTTGTGATCAAAAAGTCTGCTTTGTGAGCTACTGGCATTAAAGCTGTGAGTGAGCGATTTGGCTCCTGCATAAATTAGTTTGCTCTGGAGCCATCCTTCCTGAGCTAAGACAAAATGTGTGAGCTGGAGGCTAAAAAACTGTGAGCTAGCTCACTCACACTAACTCAGCTTAGAGGGAGCACTGGTTGCCATAAATCAGCCGTGACATGAAAGCTCTTTCCACCCCCATCAAATCTCCCTTATAAGAGTAGCCCAGGAGTGGGATGCATCTGTTGTTGTTCTCTCTCTCTCTCTCTTTCTAAAATGTAGGCTCCTGGTTGTACGTGACCTATAAAACAAGAGGAACTAGGACAGTGGGGAGACCAGAGGGTGTCCAAGAATGCAGCACATGTCTGTTGTCGAACCTTTAATCCCCAGGTCCGTGGCAGGCTGGGGGCCAACTGCTGCATGCGTCTGGATTGTCTAAACCTGCTAATCCACAGACACTGCTGTGATTGACCACAACAACTGAGTTAAGACCCCACCATGGAGCCTTCCCACCCCTAATTGTTCAGTGCGCTCCTCACGCATTCCGTGCAAGCCTCAAGCCCTACTCATGTAGCGTGTGCCTTAGAAATGTCCAGCCCCGGCGGCTTAGTTGTTTTTATTTTAAATGCAGTTAGGAGCATGCATTAATTAATTTTAAATATTAGTTCGCAAAACGTACTCTGGTGCCAGGCATTCTTGAAGCACTCTGAGTCTTATAAAAGGGAATTCTCAGGGTGGAAAATATGCCTGCCCCCTCCCTAAGGCAGTATGGGTTGCAGGGAATAAATGCATTTTTGCAAGGCCACTTTGTGCAATCGTAAAACAAATATGGAGGGGGAACTTCAGAAGCCTAGATCGTAGATATATCTCTGCTTTGGGGAATTGCTCTTTTCCTTCACACATTGGACCCAGGAGTGTGAACTGTGTCCTTTGCAATTCTCTTGGGAACTTGCGTGACTGTGTCCCTTTCAGCACTCTGCTTTTAATCTATGTCCTCCAAGCAATTCTGCTTGGAGATCTATGTTTAATCTGTGTTCTCCAAGCAATTCTGCTCTAAAATCAAATTCAACCTTCTTTTTAATCCAGGTTTCCCTCCCATTCCGCACTAAAATTGAGTTCAACCAGTTTGGTGTAGTGGTTAAGTGCGCGGACTCTAATCTGGGAGAACCGGGTTTGATTCCCCACTCCTCCACTTGCACCTGGCTGGATGACCTTGGGCAAGCAATAACTCTGGCACAGCTGTTCTTGAAAAAGAGCAGTTTCTGTCAAGAGTTCTCTCAGCCCCACCAACCTCACAGGCAATGTTCCCTCTAAGCTGTGGAGTCTTGTGAGCAAAAATTCTACTTTGTGAGCTACTGGCATTAAAGTTGTGAGCGAGTTATTTCGCTGCTGCATCAATTAGTTTGCTCTGGAGCCATCCTCCCCGAGCTGAGACAAAACTGTGTGAGCCAGAGGCTAAAAAACTGTGAGCTAGCTCACACGAACTCAGCTTAGAGGGAACTCTGCTCACAGGGGTGTCTGTTGTGGGGAGGGGAAGGGAAAGGAGTTTGTAAGCCGCTCTGAAATACCTTTGGGTAGTGAAGGGCGGGGTATAAATCCAATCTCTTCTTCTTTTTATTGCGGGTCTCTCCCCCCCCCCCCTTCTGCATTATATGACCTCCCTTCAGAAGTCAGCCGGGTTTCAGCCTGCTGTGGCCCCAGGTTATTTGGAATGCTGTTTTGCTGTGACTTAAATTGCCTCCACACTGAGAAAATCTGGAGTGGCAGGCAGATGCGGAAAGGACTGTCGTTACTGCAATTACATTTTCTTTATGTTAATTCCTATGGGGGAAATATATACACGAGTCAAACATTACAACGGGTACAAAGAGTTATGGTTGGCTACTGTGGTGTGTGGGCTAGCACTGTAGCAATGGCTGTAAGGCAGTAAAGGTAAAGGTTCCCTTGCTCAAAAGCCAATCGAGTCCGACTCTAGGGTTGCGGTGCTCATCTCCGTATCAAAGTCGAAGAGCCAGCGCTGTCTGAAGACGTTTCCGTGGTCATGTGGCCGGCATGACTAAACACCAAGGCGCACGGAACACTGTTACCTTCCCACCGAAGTGGTACCTATTTATCTACTTGCAATTTCTTGCTTTCGAACTGCTAGGTTGGCAGGAGATAAGGCAGTAGACCCATCTATATAATTAAAATGTCTCTGGCAGTCACACCAATAAAGGAGGTTGGTCACATCCAGTTCCTACTGTGTATCACTGGTGATAAATCTCATTCATCTGGCTCAGAAGCAGCACTCCCAATGTTCTCCTCTAGAAATGCACGCACACCCAAAGGAAAAAAATAGCAATGTCATTCCCATCATGGTATTTGGCTGTGAGCCAGGATCTGTGTATTACATGGGCTGTCTTAGTTAAGCAACCTGAATAGCCTGGACTAGCCAAACTTGTTAGAGTTTGGAAGCTAAGCAGGGTTGGCCCTGGTTAGTATTTGGATGGGAGACCACCAAGGCAGTCCAGGGTTTGCTGTGCAGAGGCAGGCAATGCCAAACTGCCCCTCTGAATGTCACTAGCTTTGAAAACTCTACAGGGTTGTCATAAGTCAGCTAGAACTTGTTGGCACTTAATTATTATTATTATCTTAGCTTGTGCTGAGCAAAATGCAGTAACCCAGCCAAGACCCTTTCCCATGTTCCTTGGAGGAAAGTTAAATCAGATGTAAACTGGAATGAAACAATGTGATGTGTAGTGGTCTGATTCAGCTTTTTGAAAGGACCTTTAAAATGGGCATGCCTTTTAAGGTGGAAGGAGAAGAAGAGATTGGATTTATACCCTGCCCTTCACTACACGGAGTCTCAGAGAAGTTTACACTCTCCTTTCCCTTCCTCTCCCCACAACAGACACCCTGTGAGATAGGTGGGGCTGAGAGAGCTCTTTTGAGGACTGCTCTTGAGAGAACAGCTCTGAGAGAACTTGTGACTGACCCAAGGTCACTCCAGCAGCTGCATGCGGAGGAGTGGGGAATCAAAGTCGGTTCTCCCTGATTAGAGTCTGTGCTCTTAACCGCTACACCAAACTAGATGTCTGGCCATTGAGAATTCATGGAGGCCAGTTTCCACATTACATTGTTTACGGGTCTGCCCTGAGTCTTATCACACCAGCATTTGCTGGGAGTTCCCTCTTGAAACTTGGGTTCTCAAATGTGCCAGGATCCAATCTGGATCAAGGCACGTAGATGGGAGAGAGACTTCAGCCTTCCTGAGCTGAAGGAGCCCCAGGGAGCCACTGTTTGCCCCATTGCTGAGGCTTACAGGTAGCCCATATAGCACGAAGAGCCAGTGTGGTGTAGTGGTTCAAGGGCTCTTTTTGTAGCAGGTACTCATCTGCATATTAAGCGACACACCCCTAATGTAGCCAATCCTCCAAGAGTTTATAGTAGCCCCTGTAAGAAGAGCTCTGTAAGCTCTTGGAGGATTGGCTACATTAGGGGGGGTGTCGCCTAATATGCAAAGGAGTTCCTGCTACAAAAAGAGCCCCTTGAATCCCCGCTCGTGCCGTGGAAGCTCTCTGTGTGACCTCAGGTCAATCACACACTCTCGGCCTAATCTACCTCACAGGGTTGTTGTGAGAATAAAATGGAGGACAATGTAAACTTCTTTGGGTCCCCATTGGGGAGAAAGGCAGGGTACAAATGGATTAAATGGAACGAATAATATATAATATTCTCCAGTGGAAGCCATATTAGCTCCCTAGGGCTATTGCTGTTTGGGGGAAATGATGGGAGGGATAAGCCTGCCCCCCTCTCCCCACACGATGGGGTCCTATTATGAATTTGGCCCTGAGGCGCTTGCGAATCTCCCAGCTTGTGTCTGTGGGTCAGGCCTTGGGCTGGAGCCATAAACAGTAAAACGTGTAGTTAGGTTTTCAAACAACCGGCTTTTCCCATAGAAGGGGTGGCAGGCAATGCTCCCTCTAAGCGGTGGAGTCTTGTGAGCAAAAATTCTACTTTGTGAGCTACTGGCATTAAGGTTGTGAGCGAGCGGTTTGGCGGCTGCATGAATTAGTTTGGTTTGGAGCCCGTCCTTCCTGAGCTAAGGCAAAAATGTGTGCGCCGGAGTCTGAAAAACTGAGCTGGCTCACACTTACTCAGCTTAGAGGGAACACTGCTGGCAGGTAATTTTCCCCAATTTGTAGCTTTTCCCTGGAAAATACTGTGCGTTTCCCCCCCTTTCCCCCGCTTGACATGACAACAGCACATGCATGTGGGAAACACCTCTGTGTTCATCCATATGCATGGGGAAGACAGGAAGCAGAGAAGGAGCCGCCTACATTTCCTGGACTACCTGGGGCTCAATGGTAGAGCCTCTGCCTTGCATGCAGAAGGTCCCAGGTTCAATCCCCAGCATCGCCAGCTAAAAGGGATCAGGAAGCAGGTGACGGGGAAGACTTCTTCCACTGTGCTTCTTCCAGTAAACAGTACAGAGCTTGATAGGACGGATGGTGTGATTTACTATGAGCCCTGTGTACTCAGAGGAGGGCGGTCTATCAGTCTAATTTATAAATAAATAAATAAGGCAACTTCACATGTGTCTTTTGCTTCCAAACAGCAAGCTTAACTTTGAAGCCAGTTTGGTGTAGTGGTTAGGAGCGCAGACTCTAATCTGGGAGAACCCGGTTTGATTCCCTACTCCTCCATATGCAGCTGCTGGTGTGACCTTGGGTCAGTCACAAGTTCTCTCAGAGCTCTCAAGGGCAGTTCTCGAAAGAGCTCTCTCAGCCCCACCTACCTCACAGGGTTTCTGTTGTGGAAAGGGGAGGGGAAGGGAGATTGTAAGCAGCTCTGAGACTCCTTCGAATACTGAACGGCGGGGTATAAATCCAATCTCTTCTTCTTCTCCTTCTTCTTCTTAAAATCTCAGTTCTTCCTCTTTTTCTTCCCCTCTCCTTCAATTTAAGGAAGTTCTCTCGATCTGCCTGAGAAAACGCTATTCATTTGCACCCATCCGCAGTCCCAAAATCTGATAGCAGGGGAAACCTTGGTGCTTCAGTGTGGAGCTGTTGGAATTCCCACGCCTCAATACCAGTGGTTCAAGAACGGATCTCCACTGACGAATGGGGATAAAAAGGCATACGTGGTGAGTCTTCGTTATTTTTCTTCCATCAAATGAAAATTCAAAGTCTCCCGAAAATTAAGTTCATTTCTAACTGTATTCCTGAAAGCCTTGTGTATATAAAGTGATGTGTCCTTTCACTTCCTGGTGCTCTGTCATTAGCACGCTGGTAAGGGAGTCCAGTTGCCTTGTATCCCGTTTCTGAATGTATGAGCCGGGTGGGTGGAGGTGGCGCAGAAGGTTTTTAATTGTTACTGGAAACGTGGTGCAGAGCTAGATGCTCCCCTCCGACAGGGTGGGCCTATTGAAATTCATAATGGAGGTTCAGGAAATGTTTGCAATCATTCTCTTCCAGAGTACTGCTGTCTTATTTTTAGGAAATGGTGCGTTTCTGCATCTCAGCCTGTCCACGAAAGCTATAAACCAGCTAGCCCTGACCTGGATAGCCCAGGCAATCCCGATCTTGGAAGCTAAGCAGGGCTGACCCTGGCAAGTACTTGGAAGGGAGACCTCCAAGGAATACCAGTGGTGGGCAATAGCATGCCACTTCTCTGAAATGTCCAAGCCCCACTAGGGGTCGCCAGTCGTCAACCATGACTTGCAGGTATGCACACACATACACACAAAATACCAAAAAAATATAAAAGCTATAAACCAGCTTTTCCAGACCTGTGGTATCCTTAAGTTCCATAATATTAAGTTCCATAAAGAGGAAAAATCTGTATAGGTATGAGAATCAGTGTGATGAAATAGTTAAGAGTCTCGGATTAGGAGTGGAGAGACCTGGATTAAAGGTCTCACTCAGTTTATGAAGCTCCCTGGACGATCTGGAGCCAATCTCCCTCCCTCTCTTTCTCAGCCTTACCTACCTCACAGGGTTGTTGTGAGGGTGAAATGGAGGAGGGGAGAGCCCTGGGCTCCTTGGAAGAAGGGGACAACATTTTTTAAATTTAAAATAGGGCAGTTTTCTGGAAATTGGTGTCTCTCGGTTTTTAGGTGTTTTTTTTTTAAAAAAAACAACAACAACAACAAAAACAATGAGAATCCAGTTGCAAGTATTTAACAACATGAGAACACAAGAGAAGATATGTTGGATCAGGCCAGTGGACCATCCAGTCCAACACTCTGTGTCACACAGTGGCCAAAAATACCAGGTGCCATCAGGAGGTTCAGCATCATTTGCCCCATACTGAGAGTTCCTATCTATACCTTGTGGCTAATAGCCACTGATGAACCTCTGCTCCATATGTTTATCCAATTCCCTCTTGAAGCTGTCCATACTTGTATTCGCCACCACCTCCTGTGGCAGTGAATTCCATGTGTTAATCACTCTTTGGGTGAAGAAGTACTTCCTTTTATCTGTTCTAACCTGACTGCTCAGCAATTTCATTGAGTGCCCACAAGTTCTTGTATTGTGAGAAAGGGAGAAAAGTACTTCTTTCTCTACCTGCTCTATCCCATGCATAATCTTATAACTGCTAGGTTGGCAGGAGCTGGAACTAGAGACGGGAGCTCTCTCCGTCATGCGGCACCCGGGTCTCGAACTGCTGAACTACCGACCTTCCATCACAGCCTGCAGTTCAGCGTCTTAACCACTTGAGCCACCGCAGCTCTGTTCCATCTATACCTTGTGGCTAATAGCCACTGATGGACCTCTGTTCCACGTTTATCTAATCCCCTCTTGAAGCTGTCTATTCCTTATTAGGAGGTGCTCTGTTGTCTTCCTAGGTTTCCTGTGTGGACGTCGAACATCAAGGCACATATTGGTGCCGTGTATACAATGACCAAGAGGCTCAAGAAAGCAAGAAGGTGGAAGTTATTGTAGGTAAGAAACCTTAGTGAGTGTGGTAATTAGAATCCTGCATATGAAAACCAGCAATGACTGTTGGGAAATTCCATTTATATCCCCCCCCCCCATCAGGCCTCTTCTCCTGATCCTCTCATCTTAGAATCATAGAATCATAGAGTTGGAAGAGACCTCCAGAGTTATCTAGTCCAACCCCCTGCACAATGCAGGGAATTCACAAATACCTCCCCCTCCATACCCCCAAGTTCCATGCCCAAAAGATGACAGAAAACCTCTAGGATTCCTGGCCAAACTGGCCTGGGGAAAGATTGCTTCCTGACCCCAAAGTAGCAATCAGCATTTCCCTGGGCGTGTAAGAAAGTTCCTCTTTTCCTCCCTCCCTGCCTCTGCTTTTGTTCTACTTCTTCCCCTCCCTTTTTGTCTCACTTAATTTCACCTGTCTGACGAAGGGAGCTTTGACTCTCAAAAGCTTATACCCCAAAAATCTTGTTTTTATTTATTTATTTATTTATTTATTTATTCTGGGATTTATATCCCGCCCTACCCATACGGCTCAGGGCGGCAAACAACCGGCAAATGTCGGGAATAAAACACAAGTTACATTAAAAACTTCAATAAATACAAACTAAAATGGTGCTGTACAGTTCAATTTTAAGAAAGTTCAGGATGGTCTCTAAGGTGCTAAGGTAAAGGTAAAGGTCTCCTTGCTCAAAAGCCAGTCGAATCCGACTCTAGGGATGCAGTGCTCATCTCCGTTTCCAAGCTGAAGAGCCAGCGCTGTCCAAAGACATTTCTGTGGTCATGTGGCCGGCATGACTAGATGCTGAGGCGCACGGAACACTGTTACCTTCCCACCAAAGCAGTACCTATTTCTCTACTTGCAATTTCTTGCTTTCGAACTGTTAGGTTGGCAGGAGCTGGAGCCAGAGACGGGAGCTCAATCCATCATGCGGCACTCGGGTCTCGAACGGCTGAACTACCAACTTTCTGGTCTGCAGTTCAGCGTCTTAACCACTTGAGCCACCACAGCTACTGGACTCAAATCTAGCTCTTAATGTCATCTTATAAGTGATGTTCCATGTATGCATTTTCTGCATACGTTATTACACCACAGTACAAATACCTTTGCATGTATGTGAATGGCAGAGGAATTTAATTCAGAATTAGCTTTTTGGTTACTCTCGGGTCAGAACACCACAGTTGGAAAGTTGCACCCTGCGTACTCAGAAGCACACCTTCTTAGTAGGGGAACCAGTGAGTTCTCATTGTACAGTAGCATACTTAGAAATTTGCCAAGTGATGCAGAGAGCCAGGGGTCTGGTTTCTCCCATGCACATGATGCTGCTGGTGAGTCTGACCATTGCAGAGGTGAGTGAGCGTAGAGGTTAAACAACTCAGACAAGGTCGGATGGCCTTCGGCATGCCGAGGTGTTAGAGAAAGGTAGCAGCAGGACAATCAAGCAGACGATTGAAGCAAGGAAGCCGAGATAATCTTGGGAAGCTCCTAGATCAAAAGCATCACTTGTTTATTTGTCTTTGCTTACCAGCTGGTCTCTGTTGCTGAAATGGGGGAAACATACAATGTAATCCTTAAAGCTGCATCAGTCTGCTCTACTTTGATTTAAATTATTTCATTTAAGCCCTACCTTTCACCCCAGAGGGGACCCAAAGCGACTTCAGTTGTTCCCCTCTCCTCCATTTTATCCTCACAACAACCTTGTGAAGTAGGATAGACTGAGTGACTGGCCCAAGGCCACCCAACCAGCTTCCATGGCCGAGTAGGGATTCAACTCTGGTTCTCCCAAAGCCTAGTTCAATGGTCTGATCATTCGACAACACACTCATTACTCACTCATAATCAGTCTTTTAAGAAGTTAAATTACCCCAGATTATCTTCCACTTGCATTTAATCCATGTCCGAATGAAATCAAGAACTCTTCTTTTTGTCTCCTTGAAACCCAAGGTGGGAAGTCTATTGCAGTAGAATGCACTGAAGGTAAAGTCAGCCTTTGATGTGGTAGAGCTTCTTGGTGAATTCTGCATGCTGGGAATTACAGATGTTATAACCTTAATCACGCCAGGATCTATATGCTGTGTTGGGCGCTTGTGCTGTGTACTGTGTTGATCGACCTCCTCCTGTTCTCATTCCTCCATATCTTCGATTAATGATATTAAAATGTCCTTTCCTTTGCCACTGAGTGTACCGTATTTAACGTACCATATTTAACACACCACCGTAAGCCATAATTATTAAACACGACCTTCCGTCCATCTTTAGCTTTCTGTTAGATCTATTTGTGAATGTCTTTTTAATATGTCTGTCAAACGCACGGTCGCTCAGTTTTCTGTATTCCCTTTCAGATGATTTAACCGGCATTGGAGGGCCTGGTAAGTGTAACGTTAATTCATAAAACCATCCCTGCAGGATGCTGGGGAAGTCGATACAAAATTGTGTCTCTGGTGATTTATTTTAAAACTATTACAAAGTTATAAAATTCAGTGGCTGAATGTAAAATAGATGATAATTCAGTGATGGAAACACATCAGGTGTTCTGAGTCTGGAAAATCCACGGCCTCAAATAATGACTTCATTAGGGTTTACGCCAGGCCTTTTGTCCCCCAAAATGCCTGCCTGAAGGCCATGCCAATCCTTCCCTGGCTGCAGCAGTCCATGTTTGCTTTTTTGCCAAGTGCTACTGTGAGGGCCAAAATATCCTGTCCTGTGGAATGTTGCATACACAGTGGTGAAAGTAAAAAAAAAGCATTTCATCTACCTTCTCAGCAGAGAACATTTGGCAATGCAAGCAGTACGTTTATAGTAACAGAATCTTCTGTATAGCAGATATTCTGTGCTTTTGAGCAGCCTGCCTTGGGTTTTTGCACAAATGAGATGTTGCATTTGAAAAAACAACAACAGCAAGTTGACTCACAGCAGCTTGCAGGGAATGTCTCTTTAAAAATCATGCCCTCCTTTCCCCCTGAGCCGCTCCGCTTTTGCGGAGAGACTTGGGGGGGGGGGGCTTTAAATGCCTGTCTTCCCTGCGCGATATTCTCCGAGTGCTACGCAGCCGTGGGGCACTCAAAGAAGCTCACATAGGGAAGCCAGGCATGTCTGCTGGGCTCCCCTTCCTGTCTCCAGCCAGCCCAGGCTAGCTGGAGACAGGAAGGGAAGCCGGGCAGACATGCTCTCCTTTCCCCCTGAGCTGCTCCGCTTTTTTGGGGGGGGATTTAAATGCCTGGCTTCCTGCCAAGGCGAGCTGGGGGGGGGGAAGCGAAGCGAGAGGGGATTTAAAGTTTAAACCCCTTCTCTCTCAAGTCGTGCAGCAGCAGCGGCACGATGTTACCATTGTATTCTATGGGGCCCTAGAATACAATTGAAAGATCCCGCCGCCCCAGCAGCGGGATTCTAGAGGGAAGGGGTTTAAACTTTAAACCCCTTCTCTCTTCGCTTCCCCCCCCCCGCCTTTGCAGGCCGGCTGGGGAAGGGAAGAGGAGGCTTTTGAAGATGCCTCCACCCTTTTTTGCTTCCCTTTCAGACACACTTCCGGTGATATCAGGGGGCGTGGCATAGGCTAATGATTATGCCAAAAGTAGGTATGCTAATGAGCTCCTGCGCCTCTTTTCCTACGAAACGACCCCTGCTTGTGAGCAAGATGAACGAACTCAGCTGAGAGGGAACACTGGTGCCCACCACCCTGTGTCATAATTCCAGAACAGCTCACAGATTCAAAAAGGGCTGGGGTCTCCTTTGTTATAGACGTGCAATATTATACCATTATGAACTCTTGTGAGAATGTTGCATCCGAAGAAGTGAACTCTGCCTCACAACAGCTCTTGCTAAAATAAATATTATTGTTAGTCCTCAGGGAGCCACTAGGCTTCTGTATAGTTTAATCTAGTTTTTGGATCCTAGTTAGTGGGGAGATGAACTCTGTTTAACCCATGTGCCCTGCATTGGTAACATCCTGTGTCACTGGAGTTTGTGCTTGACAAAAATTCTTGGTGGGAGACGGGAAAATTAGAATGAGATTGGGACAACCCTGGTTTGTATCCATTGTTCCATTGCTATGGTTTGTAGACATTGGTGTGTACACATTGTTCCATCAGGGAGCTACCTTAATGAAATTGAAACGTGAGGAGCATCAGAACTAGCGACCTTTAAAAAAAAACAACTTTAAATGTTTGCAGATGTTGTTGACCATAGTGAATTCACTTTTTTCATTTCCCCCCTTTTTTTTACAAAGCAGATCTTATGGAACAGTCGACTGAAAGACGTTTTGGTGAGTAGTTTATTTGCGTGCTTGTTTAGGAAACGTCTGCACTGCCTTCTGTAGAGAACCTGCCGGAAGCGGCTTAATGTAGTAAAACATGATAAGAACATAAAACTGCATAAAAGTCATCAAATATTAACAAGCAAGTTTAGATACGTGGCTGTGCGCACTTGGCTTTAGATTCCATCCGTGGCCTTTTGAAATCAGTGAGGCTTGTTGCTTCTTTTTGTGTTTTTCTTTTTAATTTTGAGCTGTTTATTGAAGATTGAAATAGAATATAGTGCAGCACTTAGTAAAGCATGAATGAAAACAGTCACAAAATGATTATTAAGACTGTGGTAAATCCAGAATTGCCATTACAAGTGATCTGCTAATTTTGAGCTTATCATTCAAACAATTAAAATTAAAAATAAATGGAGTTCTTTTTGTACTTAAGGTGGTATAGATGTCTGTAGGATTTGACTTGGTTCAGTTTTCTTTAGATTTTTCCCTGTATCAGTAGTTTGCTTGCGGTCTTGACTTTTGATCCCTCGTGTATTTTGTCTTGATGAAGACAGAATGCTGTTTAAGGAAGATTCAGGTGGGGTAGCTGTGTCAGTCCGAAGCAGTAGAACAAAGTTTGAGTCCAGTGGCACCTTTAAGACCAACAAAGTTTAATTCTGGGTAGAAGCTTTTGTATACGTGAACATTTCTTGCCACTGAACTCCTTTGCGTTGTTTAAGGAAGTTAGACACCTCTGTGAATAAAACAGTTCTTAAACAGAAGAGATTGAGGAAGAGATTGGGTTTATACCCCGCCCTTCACTACCTAAAGAAGTCTCAGAGCAGTTTACAATCTCCTTTCCCTTCCCCTCCCCACAACAGACACTCTGTGAGGTAGGTGGGGCTGAGAGAGCTCTGAGGGAGCTGCTCCTTAAATAACAGCTCTGAGAGAACTTGTGACTGACACAAGGTCACACCAGCAGCTGCATGTGGAGGAGTGGGGAATCAGACCTGGTTCTCCCAGATTTGAGTCCACGCTCCTAACCACTACACCAAACTGGAACTGCACCAAACAGCAGTGTTGGAGTTCTTTGCCTTTGTGCTTTTAAGGTCTGCCCTTTTCTGATTATTCATGGTTTTTGGTTTTACTGGTTATTTTTAATACAGATATTTTTTTAAAAAAACACTGTATGTGACAGTATTTTTTTAAATTACTGTATGCTATTTGTTTATTCAAGAAAATCTGCATAGCACATGGGCTTTTAGACAAAACAATGCAACAGTAATTAAAGTCCATGAGAAAAAAGAACACACAGTGCTTTAGGAAGAAGTAGAAGGTTTATTTTAAATAGACTGTCTATAGGTATTGTAATTACAAGACTAGCAAGCTTTTTAGTATTAGCGTAAGTTTAGTATGTTCCCCCAAGAGCACTACGGTCAGGGCCCCAAAACTTATTAGTCATCCCGGGCCCCAAGGATGTCAAACTAGCCGCTACTAGGACCAGGGCTTTTTTGGTGGCGGCTCCTACCTGGTGGAACGAGCTCCCAGGGGAGATCCGGGCCCTGCGGGATCTTGTGCAGTTCCGCAGGGCCTGCAAGACGGAGCTCTTCCGCCAGGCTTTTGAGTAGGAGCCGCCGTCCCTACTATACTACCACCACCCTGAGGTCCTGAGGAAACATCTTAGTATGGAAGAAGCCTTTGGCCGTCTTCTTGGAACTTCGGACATATGACCCGCCATCCCTAGATCATGGAAGTCACTGAGCACTTTGTTCGACTAGGATTGTTTAAAGATGTATTATATGTTTTTAAATTATCATGTATTTTATTGTTTTATTATGGCAAGTGTGTCTTGCCCCTGTCAGCTGCCTTGAGCCCACTGGGGAGGGCGGGGTATAAGTACGAAAAATAAATAAATAAATAAATTTATGGGCCTTCATCCTGTGTCCTGAGAAGGTGGACTCTTGCTTACTTTGTGGAAGCTTATAGTAGAATAAAAAACATGTCAGGCTTTGCAGTGCTACAAAATTCCAGTTTCCATTACCTCTCTAAAACTGTCAAAAGAGTTTTAGATCTCTCTGTTAAATACCTCTTTGTGCCTGGTGGATAGAAAACAAATGTAGCTCTTCACACCTGGCTGTTATCAACTGGTTTGGGGTTTTTTTGCCGTCGTGTCAGCTAACGTATGGTAGCCCTGTAGGGGTTTCAAGGCAAGAGGCAAACAGAGATGGCTTACCATGGCCTGCCTCTATATAGCAGCCCTAGACCTCCTGGGAGATCTCCCATCCAAGTACTAACCAGGACTGAACTTGCTTAGCTTCTGAGATCTGATGATACCAGGCTAGCCTGGGCTATCTCAAAATCTGTGTCACTGGCTGCATCCACACATTGTTAGATATTGTTGTACTATTGTTATACTGTAGCAAATGCTCATAACCCGGATTGGCTTGACCAAACAGGATAAACTGGACCGATTTCGCAAAAGCAGTTGTTCCGCCCTTGGTCTCCTGTTTCCCCCGGTTGTACTGCTCAGTTTCCCACTATTTGCTGAACGGCCGCATTTTGATCCACATCCCCCCCCCGATTTCCCCCACGGCGTCTTCTTCTTTTTTTTTTTTGAGCCCCCGGAGGGGATTTTTTTTTTCCAAACTATAAAAACTATCACAGATAAAGGGAAGGGGGACTACATATACGCAGAGGTCATTTCGGGGGGGATCGCAGTTCCCCCGGGTGAGGTACGGGGGGCGGGGCACATGACAAAGCCCCGCCCCCTGCTTCCGGTCGCCCCGCTTCCGGCCCTCATTCAGCCAGGAGGAGGCAGGAGAAGAGGGAGGGTAAGTTGCTTCCTCCCTGCCTCTCCCCACCCCTGCCTACCTGGGGCCAGGGAGGGCCTTCGCGGGGCTTCCTTGCACTCCCGCTGGCCTTGCAGGTCCACCGCCGGGCCCCTCATGGGGCTTGGTACCGGAACTGCAAGGCTGGCGGTAGCGGCCGGGACCGTTGGGGGCGGGGTGTGTGGCCTTATGACACACTTCCGGTGATGTCAGGGGGTGTGGCCTTATGCCACACTTCCGGTGATGTCAGGGGGTGTGGTATATGCTAATGAATTATGCTAATGAGTTCACCTAGCTCTTTTTCTACGAAACGACCCCTGCATATACGGGACAAAGTATAGAAACCCACTACTGACTAAAAACCCAAGAGGGGAGATCCTCACTAGCTTCTCATTACATCAAGTCTTCACTTCATTTAGATCAATATAAACTGAGTCAGACATTTAAGTACTTTTTCCTTTTCATTAACTCTTAAAACTTAATTGTTCCCCCACGTCTTCTTGATCCTAAAAAAATAAGCAGTACAACCGGGGGAAACGGGAGACCGAGGGCGGAACAACTGCTTTTGCAGAATCGGTCCTGGTTGCGAATGCTTGCCTATAGCACAACGAGAAACACAACATACGATTCCATATGACACTATGATTGTCATGAGGCTCTGCTTCGGGTGCCCCCGCCTTCTGAGTTTGGGCCAGTGGGCAACCTGTAAGAGGCACCAAAATTCTGGAGCTCGCTTTCCAGGGATCTCCACCTGGCCCCTTTCTTCCACTGGCAGGTGATGACGTCTTCGTCTTGTCTGGTGTCCCCTCAGTGACCTTTCTTTCCTGTCCTGTCTTTTAATTGCTGTTTTTTCCATATGTGTTTTATTTTTGATTTTAACTGATTTTAAGATACGTTTTATCGTGTTTTACTTTTAATTGCTAGCCGCCTTGGACCTGCTTGGATTGACACGGGGAATATAAATTTTGTAATTAAATGGAATAAATGATGCATAGGCTGATGAGGTGCTGCTCAAAAGCAGGTTTTTCTTCTGAACTGATTATTTTGAACTCATTTGTCCATTCTTCTTTGCATGTACGAGTTGAGAGGTTTTGCTGTTGTGACTTCTACTCCGGGGCTGAATGTGCACAAATGGCCACTTAAAATCATGTTGCTCCCCTGGCTATTCCAGTACAATCTTGTTGTATTGATACCTTCACAGTTCTGTATCCACAGCTCAACCGAGCCTTGTAAACAGGGAAAGTCTGACAATTGGCTTAGGCCCAGCAATAGAATATTTATGGCTCGATTTCAATCCTGGAACTCCATATCAAGTAGTGATCTCTGTTTCTTTCAGATGAGGTTTAATTTCTTTCTGTGTTGACCTGGCCTTCTGTAGAGGGTGTTCACACCCATTCTGGGGAAGGTTCTGCTCTGTTAGATTCTTCCTTTGACAAAGAATATCATGTATATGCTTTTAAAAAAGGATTAAACCGTAGACCTAAACAACAAAAAGTGGGTGCATTCTGTTAGTACAGCAGAATGCACACCACAGAAAGGTCGATGCAGGAAAAAAGTATAGTAAGCTTAAGGGAGGGGCTGTGGCTTGGTGGAAGAGCCTCTGCTTTTAATGCGGAAGGTCCCAGGTTCAATCCCTGGCATCTCCAGTTTAAATGGATCAGGCAGTAAGTGCAAGACCTCCGCCTGAGACCAGAGGAGGAGGAGGAGTTGGTTTTATACCCCGCTCTTCAATACCTGAAGGAGTCTCAGAGCAGCTTACAATCACCTTCCCTTCCCCTTCGCAGAACAGACACCTGTGAGGTGGGTGGGGCTGAGAGAGCTCTGAGAGAGCCGTGACTTACCCAAGGTCATCCAGCTGGCTTCAGGTGGAGGAGTGGTTTTCCAGATTAGAGTCTGCCACTCTTAGCTGCTACACCAAGCAGACTGCTGGTCTGAGTAGACAACCCTGACTGTGATAGACCAAGGGTCAGATTCCGTATAAGGCAGATTCATGTGTTCATGTAGATGATGAACCCCTTACTTGCAGGCTCATCCATCCTAAGACACAGAGAGCTGCCTTGATGGACCAGTCCATCTATTCCAGAAATCTCTTTCTAGCAATGGCTCTTTGCTGTTTGTTTTCTCCAGCTATGAAGGCTGAAGGAAACTTAATGCTTCCTTTAAGACAGGTATGCATTACTAAACATTACTCCATTACTT